TATATATATATGATAATAAAAAAAATAAGTAATTACATGAAAAGATATAAATAAATTTTATCACACATTTACAAAAATAAAACATTTTTTTTTATAAGAATGGAGGAAAATGTTATTATATACATATATTTACTACCTTTCAAACACATAAATCAATTGACACAAGATTGTTTGAGTTTAAACATTGATTTCAAGTTAAAAATATCTTTGCTTTTTGACCCAACTTAAAATTACTTTAGTGAATGATACATGTAAGTTATATATAAAAAGGTTATTTATTTCCTCTTTTATTTATTTTCTATTAATCTTTTTGAAAACTCTCTCTCTCTCTCTCTCTTTTTTTTTCTTTTCTTTTTTCATGTTTGCATCGCTTTCGTTTTAAACATCGATTATTTTCCTGGAAGAAATGAGAAGGTTTACGGTCCAAATCCAAGAAGGTAAGAGCATAAAACGGAGACACAGTCTAACCCGTTGACTGATCCATAGGCGCAGACCAAAAAGAAGAAGAATTCAAGATTTAAGAGGTACAGAGCTAGCTAGCGCATTAACAACCACCAATCATATACCAAAAATTACTGTTGTTATTTAAGCAGAAAAATCATTAAAAAAATCAATCAAAGAAATAAAAAGAGACAAATAAAAAACAGATAGTTTTAATCCCTAGCTCTCAAACAAAATACGAATTAAAAATGATGTTAAGAGGAATAACTTTAATGCATAAGGGAAACTAATTTTTGGAAAAATCGAAAAATACTTCCGTCAATTCTATGATTAAAAAAATAAAAATAAACAAAAACAAAATGCAATTTTTTTTATAACTTTTTTTTTTGTGAGATTAATTACCTTATTTATCGGCAAGAAAATCTTGTTATTAAATTGTATATATTCTAAGTCAATTAACATTTAATAATTTTATTAATTATTTTTCTGTCACTTAAATATTTCATTTGTCAAAGTAATGATATATAATTTATAAATAAACCTAGTGAAACAGATGAGTAGAAATCTCTCGATCAGTTTCAAGTTCACGGGTGATTCAAGGATTTTCATTTTTCGGAAATTGGAATTGGCAGACTAAAGACATTATATTCAACTGTAACTTTGTTGCATATAAAAGTAAAATTATATATCATGCTGAAACATTCAAAGTTTAAGCTGATGAATGAATGTGAGAAATTCAAAAGGAAAAGGTACACAGGTACCCATTGAAAACCGTATATATTTGCATATCTAAGGAAATTGATGAAGCCTTTCTCTCAGCATTCCTCACATGAAGGATCTTAACAAAATAAGCACAAAAGTGATAGGAACTTTCCGGACAGATAGTCCTAGAAGGGTTTGATTGGCATAATATTGTCTACAGAATCTTGTGGACGTGCTTCATTTTCCTCCTATCCTTATCTTTATATATTTAATTATAATCAAAATGCAAGGATATGATCGATATATATGCTTCAGTTTCTAGTCACACATATATATTCTATCATGAAGAATATTTTATAATTTCATATATAATACTAATAGTATTACTTCATAGATATTAGTTTAATTAATTGGTGAAAAAATTAATTAAGCTAAAAGTCCTATATTCATGTCTGCTGTGTGATTGAAATAGAAACGAGATGCTCAAATATTAAAAAACCGGATTGTTTATTCATTTAAAGAATTTTACCAAGTTCTTTGCACTTTCCTATATAAAGTAAAACCAAGGAAAACATCTGGTAGAAAATATCAAAATGAAAAGACAAGACTACCGATGGATACGCCAATTGTTTGTTAGAAAAATTAATGACAACCATCGTATATATGATACGAGAGTTCTGTCGAAGTCAACAACACAATTTCAAGAAAAAGCATTTACTCCATTATTAAATTAGAAGGCGCAGAGAAATTAAGAATCAGTAAAAATAATTTGACTAAATATTGACTTAATAAAGCCATGCCTTTACAATTTTGCCTTACAGGAAATGCTACCGTATCTTATTAATTAATTAGGATGGAACTTTGCTAATAATAGAAGTATATGAATTCAAACCAACTCATTAATTAACTGATCACATGCACGTAGAAACATATACCTAGCTAGAATATCTACATTCTTTACAAATTTTAGTTAATGGAAATGAAAGAAGGTAATAAGAGAGTTAAGAAATTAGTCAAACTCAAAGGGATCCAGCCAAGCTAACAATTTCTTCCTAATAAAAACATATCCAAATTTTGGCTTGTTCAGGATTTTCATATATATATATATGTTTTACTTTACTTATTATGCCAGCAGGATACTATTGAAAAGCCAGCGATTCTATGGTGAGGACAAAAATGTCTGTGTTCTGTTCACTATGTGGGGGGCCATATGCTTTCTTCTGAAAAGCTTCAGTCTCTTTCTCTACATCTACATCATCTTGAATGTGAGAGGATACATGATGCCAATGCAGATATATATATATATATATATATATATATATATATATCGATATTGAGTATAGATAAATTAAATGTGCATGAGAGAGAGGGATCGGCCATCCAAACAGGTTAATTATATTATTCATTAAATTACCAAAAAAAGTTGTTAGCCTATTCGGAATGACTGAAATGAAGTTGCACAAAGAAAACTGTCGTCCCGTTACCAAAAAATGCATCTCAAAATTTTTAAGTAAGTACGTACTCAACATTCCAAACTTAGAATCTCATGTTGGGGTTTGTAATTAATATTCTATCAAATGAATTTTACACTCAAATTTAGGCTTACTTATATAGATTTCATCTTAAAATCAATTCATTTTAAATGAAGTTGCTCAACAAATATGTAAACCACACTTGGAGAACCGAAATCTTTCATATTGTAGAAAAATGTGGATATAAAATTAATTGATATATTATGATAAACAACATAACAGTTAGGAAGGATCCAAAGTATTGAAGGAATCTGGTATGATCTATTGTCAAACACTCAAATGAAACCTACATGTTAAATTATATTAAATTGAGAAAACTACTAGTCTACAAACGTAGTGTTCAACTTAAAGTGTTATGCACGTTTCCTACTTTCCTTTCTGTTTATGGAGAAAAAAATAGTGGGACAAAACAATGTCTGAATCTAAAGCCAGTAGTAAAGAATTTCCAAAATCTCTTCTAGAATAAAAAATTGCCTCATCAAAATTAACCTATATATACATAATTTGTATGACTATACTGCTATAATTTCATAATTTCATAATATATATATATATATATATATATATATATATATATTAGGAAAAAT